AGTAAAACGCTCGGCATGTAAATCGTCAAAATTATAATAAGAGTTCTTACCCTACCTTAAGCACGAATAATTTCGAAATAATACACGAAAATGGTTGACACACCAACGTACGTCCAGCGGACGCGAAATCGAAAACCTGAATTAAAAGAACGCGGTTGAAGCAAAACTATACAATTTTGACTTAATAAAACATCAAAATTGCTATGATACAATATTACGTTTCAAATCAATAAAAATAGGGCAACAAGATTTCGTGGACATTTGTGTTAAATAAAAACAGATTGTTTATTCTTTCATTCTGTAACCTGAGTAAGTGGAAATAATCAGAAACAAAAGTATGTACTGAACAATCTCCCTATTTTAGGAAATATTGGGGTTTATGTGCCATTTCTTCAAAATTTCTCAAAACGTTCCTGTAGCAGCTTCCCCAAAACGGGTAAAAGTTTCCTCAAAACAGGGAGATTGTGTGACGATCTATTGTGAGATTCCATTATGATTCCTTTAAAATTTTACATTACGATGGCTTTCACAATACTTCAAAGGGAAAGTAACCTGAGAATTTGATTACTCAAACCCACTATAAACACCTAGTTTATGGATTTCACATAGATAATCAGTGTTAATTGAGTGTAGAGTAGAATACACGGTGCCATGTTTAATTTTTCAGGCCTTTGTTAAGTCATTAGAAAGCTGTTTGTTCGAAAATATCAGGGAATATTTCTAGAAAATTTGAATATTTTTTTGAAAGACTTTGACTACGGGTGATATTTAAGTGGAAACAGAACACTGTGTGAGCTGAAAGAAATAAGGAACTTAATAGTTGGTACGATGGTCGCCTCGTTCGTTGGTATACATACTGTCGCAGCTAGAGGATGACAGTGTAGTAGCAGACGATTTATATAAGTCTTTGTTACCTTCGTAGTTCCGTCCAATTTTTTTATTAACTGTAACAGAGGGTAGTCTGATCACCACATTTTAACAGGTCGGGCTACGAAACCGTTAGATACCGTGACTTCGACGTAATAAAACACATGTCAAAAAGTTACATCATTACAGGTAAGGAATTTGCAGTATTAGGATAACTGGTTTACTCTGTTTGAACAAAAGCCCCAACTGTCCACTTTATATTTGACTTGGCATCGAGCAACGGCTGCACGTTATTTAAGGTATACAGAGAATAGAATAATGCTACAGAGTAAATTCTTCCGTAAGCCAATAAAATTCTTGATATATATTCTATGTATTAATGAAAAGATTTGATCTAGTACATATACATAGCCACACAATACTTGATGACTAAATCATAATTACTGGGAAGATTTACTTTCAACATATTACACTTGATCTACACTGGTGAGCAAGACTTCGAATAACGCAATCTATCACTATGATCTTTATTATTGCATTCTATACTTATTCTTTTTCAATTTTATCATCGCCTATGTTAATCTATCACTGTGAACTTTCGTTGCTTCATATCAATGTTGACTAGCATTCAAACTTAAGTAATTAGTTCAATCGATAGAAGTAACTAATCAACTACGATTATAATCGGCTATCGTGGTTTTTTAACAAGCATTAGCATCTTGTAAATGCTCCTGTGTAGTATGTCTGTTAAAATATCAACCACGCGTGAATATAGCCACAAGCAACACGAACGCATATCTGTTTGTAACGTATCCACTGGTATAAGCGAGACAAGATTAACTGTCGACCATAAATTCATCTTTCTGCTTAACCACTATACACTAGAATGTTTCGCTCTTTTTTGACAACCGCCTGCCTAATTTCCAATTGCTGAGTCCCATGGCCAAACAGAGGATACGAATGCTAGAAATTTACGATGAGTTTGAACTATAAATTTTCTGCAATCTTAGATTTCGTTTAGACTGTTCGTCAGGCAATGCTATGTATTTGGCTTAAATTAATTCTGGACTTATACAAATTCAGTCTACATCGCTGTGTTAATCGGAAAGTTTAATCAACAGTACCTCGTACATAATCCAGATTCAAACTACTGCCATATCTTCATTACTTAGAAGCAAGAGTAACCCAGGCTAGTTTCATAATTTCATTAGATTATTTCGTACTATATTTATGACGCGTGATAACATTTCGTAGTTGCTTTCACGTAAAGCAGGCATATATTGTGTCACTGCCGTCAAGTTTTAGTCGACATCATGTACATTTATGGCTCGTTAGTCGACATGTTGTGGTAAAATATATTGCATGTACACGAGCACTCAGCCCATGTCCCAAGTACACATTTTGTCATGCTTAATATGTCACTTAACGCTAGGTAATAAGCTCTTTGTATCAGGCTTTTACGAAATAGGCACGTTACCTGAACCCTCTAAACTTTATTTACATTGGTGGTTACTATTTTAATTAGTGTTTACTATACTCTTTGTATTTGCTGTTATTTCACACGCTAAATCATGGCTTGATTTCCTTATTACACGACAGTCATTCTAATTCTATTTTTGGTTTATTTACATGCCATACGGGTTTGGAAAATATCTCAACGTCCTCAAAATTCTCTATGAACTCAACCATTGTTTTCGTATATGTTTTTATTCACACGTCCAACTGTTACGCTAATAATACCTAAACGAACGTTCAGTGCAACTGTCAGTATACGTAAGAACGATGTTATTTAGGCTTGACATTGTAACACATCCGAACTATTGTAGTTATTCTACTTTGATGTCGTACTTTATTTTATGAAGTATTGTTTCATCGTGGCTGTTATCTAACAGATGATTTCGGTACGTCAATTGGCTGTTCAACTACTCGACGATTTACAGCCTGTCCAGTTCAATTGGTGGTCTGACGACAATATCATTCGCGCGAATCATCAGTTTATGCAGTCGAGCGAATCTCCTGCAAACTGGAAACGATATTTTCGCCGCTGTCCTAATACTGACAGCGTTTTTCACTGGTATCATTGACATGAGTCCAAAGTGACACTCTTGGTTTCTTGTGTTCTTTTCGATATTTTTCTGTTCACTAACCGAACAAACACTCAGCACTCACCGTTTATCGTCTTTTGGAGACTTCATCGTGCCACCTTTGCTGTCGATTTGTAGCATTCCACCCTTACTGACTGTAACAGCAGTGATCGACTTTTCAGACTCTGACTACAAATAGATTAATAGCTTAGCACAACGAAATCACGACCACTCTTCACGATTATACTTCTGTACTTACGGATGATCTATTAAATCTAGATATAACTAGAAGCTGTCAACGATACTGTCTGGCATTCAACTTTAAATCAGTGGCAGTATAGACATCAGCATCGATTGATAATACATTTATCCTACTATCGCTGTAGCATCATTACTCTTGCGGCAAACTTGGCGTTTCACATTGGGGGAACTCAATTACTTGTCAAAGCTATATATTTCAGGGCGACTTGATAGAACAATAAAACGTTTTATACTTTTCATTATTTCTATGGTTAATTGCTTTACATTTAACCAACTTCGTACTAACATATTATTACTCGCTGTTTTCCCGATCAGTTTCTGCCGCCTACGTTCCATTTTGTTTTACAGCTCGGCAATACCCGGAGGACTCATATTAATCGTTTGGTAATCCATGGTGCACAACTACTCCCAACGTGTTTGGTACCGGTTCGAACGACCGTTGAATCTGGTGGGGGAGTACTGTAGGGCCAGCGAAATGTCAATAAGCCCTAGCCAAATCATCCGGCAGTTGGGTCATTGAATATCGAGCGCATAATCGATCCTCGTCAAGGTCAGGGACAACCAACGCGCATCAGTTAATCGTATGCCATGAACTGGCCCATGTGGCAGTGGTCTTGTAACAGCTTAGGTTGGTTGGTTAAGAGTTGACCCCAAACAACCAAGCATATGCCAAAACAGTAATGTTCAAGTATTCATTCACTTCCTTATTTTGTATAAGCGTTATATTCCCTAATATCTTATATTGAATGTTGAGAGCCTTTGTTTGTCTGAACAGATAATCAAACGCTCCACTACGACTGCGCGAAGACCGAATTAAAGACCTATTCACTACTTCTCTGGTTTCTTCTATCAATAGCACGAGGGTTACCATAAGGCACGAAAGTGGTGAGCCCTTTTTGAACACAAATTCAACCTCATTTCTGTTATTAACATTTTTTTTACTTAATCGTAAAAGTAGACCTGATTATCCGTAAACTAAGTTGAGTATATAACTAGTTTATTCCGTATTATCTTAAGTTATTCGTGTTATAGTAACCATTTTTCGTGCTAACTTTATTGCTATATTTGTCACATACCTCATGTCAGACTCAATAGAAACCCATAATCTGGAGGATTTGTCACCAGTGGAGATAGACACTGTTATGACTACGAAATCCCGACTTCCAGAATTTGATCGTAGTGATCCTGAGTTGTGGTTTGCTCAACTAGAGCATTATTTCACGAGACATAATATCAAATCTGAAGGGATTCGCTATAGAGACTTGTGTTCTATCCTCTCTCCTTCAGTCGCCAAAGAAGTCCGTGACTTGATTTTAGATCCACCATCACCACAACCATACACCATCTTAAGACGAGAGATAATGAACCGTTTATCATTATCAGATAGTCAAAGAATCCAAAGACTTTTTCAAGGTGAAACACAAGGTGATCGGTCGCCGTCACAGTTTTTACGTCACCTCCAAGTCTTAGTGAGTGGTAACACAGTGGGTGAAGCAGTCCTAAAACAAGGATGGATACAAGCTCTCCCATGCTACGTCCAACACTGTTTGGATGCACGAGATCCTGAAACCTCATTATCTCATTTAGCGCGTATAGCCGACAGAATAATGGAAAGAGGCCCTCCAACTGGATCAGGCTTAATAAATCACACACAAGAAGTAGAATCAGCAAAAGACCCTGTAATAGAAGGACTCATTGCGAGTGTTAAGAGTCTCACTGAGGCTGTCACCAGAATGCAAATGGGTCATAGAAACAGGAGCAGGTCACCACAACGACCACGATCCAAGTCAAAAAACAGGTCACGAACGTCCAGACAATCTGGGCAGTTTTGTTGGTACCACTGGAATTTTGGTGTCAACTCAACCAAGTGCATGCAACCACGCGCCTAGCCTAAGCATAATTCTAAGACAGCGGGAAACGAGTAACCCCTCCCCAAGTCGCGACGACTGAGGAGGGGCGCCTAAACAGTCGCTTGTTTTATGTTAGAGACAGAAACTCGGGCTTGAATTTCTTGGTGGATACTGGCGCTGCTCTTAACATCACCCCTCAAAATAAAACTGAGATTAGTCGAGAAACATCATCAATTACACTTCAAGCTACAAATAAAACTAAAATTGCGACATTTGGGCAGAAAAATTTAACCCTAGATTTGGGGTTCAGGAGGCAATTCCCTTGGGTTTTCCCGGTAGCCGACTTAGATCTGGCAATACTGGGGATGGACTTTCTAGAGAGATACGAATTTCTAGTTGACACTAAGAAACGGCGATTAACACTAAAAGAAATTTCGTATTACACAAAAGGCAAAGAAAGTCACATCAGCTCTCTTAACTTGATTCAAACTCCTCCAGTAACAACAGCGAAATTCCAAGATATACTCGCGGAATTTCCAAACTTAACTTAACCAAACCCACAGCCTTCCAAAGACAAACTAGAAGTAAATCACACTATCAAAACCGAAGGTGCACCGGTGTTTGCAAAACCCAGGAGACTAGCACCAGATAAGCTCAAAATCGCTAGGGCCGAGTTTGATTATATTCTACAACTGGGTATTATCCGTCCCTCTGATAGTCAATGGGCATCCCCTTTGCATATGGTCCCAAAGAAGAATGAAGGTGACTGGCGACCGTGCGGGGATTACAGAGCCCTCAGCCGTCAAACCGTACCAGATAGGTACCCAATACCGCATATCCAAGATTTCACCAACGGTTTACAAGGTATGAACATATTCACTAAAATTGACTTAGTCAGGGCATATCACAATATCCCAGTGGCTGATGAAGACATTACCAAGACAGCTATTACAACACCCTTTGGCTTATTCGAGTTTGTACGCATGCCATTCGGCCTGAGAAATGCGGCACAGACATTTCAAAGATTCATAGACAACCTACTTCGAGATATGCCATTTGCGCAGGGGTATATAGACGACTTGTTAATTGCCAGCCCCGATTTGCAATCACACAAACAGCATGTACAAACAGTGTTGAAAAGACTGGATGAACATGGAATAAACATACATCAAAGTAAGTGTGTTTTCGGTGTTCAAACTTTAGAATTTCTCGGTCACACAATAAGCCATGAAGGGATTAAACCTATAAAAAAAGAAGTGGATACCATCAAACAATACCCCGTACCTAGTTTTCTAACACAACTGAGAAGTTTTCTAGGTCTAATTAACTTTTACCGCAGATTCATACCAGGTTGTGCACAATTAATGCAACCTTTGACAGATTCACTCAAAGGAAAACCAAAAGAATTCAAACTGTCTTCTGATGCCGTCGAAGCTATTAAACAGCTTAAAGATAAATTAGCTCAAGCAACTAGGTTGATGTATCCAAATTCTCTTTCTCCACTTGCTTTGATGGTGGATGCTTCAGATAAAGCAGTAGGCGGTACCCTTAACCAACTGGTTAAAAACGCCTGGAAACCAATTGCTTTCTTCTCAAAAAGACTCGCTCCAGCAGAGACAAGGTATTCTACCTTCGGGCGAGAACTCCTTGCAACCTACCTAACCATTAAACACTTCCGACACATGTTAGAAGGCAGGGAATTTATAGTCTTTACGGATCACAAACCACTAACGAATGCACTAAAAGCGAGAGCTGATAAATACTCACCTCGAGAAGTCCGACACCTTGATTATATATCACAGTTCACAAGCGATATCCGACATGTCAAAGGTCAGGACAATCAGGCGGCAGATGCTTTATCTAGGCTAGAAATGAACGTGCTACAGCAATCCACAGTAAACTTCGAGACGTTGAGAAACGAACAAGAGCAGGATCTAGAATTACAAAACCTGCTTAAAACAAACAATTCAAGTCTTAATTTAAAACAGTTCCCATCACCTGTCGATGGTATTCTAATCTACTGTGACACGACCAAACCAATTCCGCGACCTTTCGTTCCCAAAAGTATGCGAAAGTTGATATATAATAACTTTCATTCATTGTCTCATCCTGGCGCAAAAGCTTCAACTAAACTAATCAATGCCAGATATATATGGCCGAATTTACAGAAGGATGTACACAAATGGGTTAGAGAATGTTCAGCATGTCAACAATCAAAAATTAATCGTCACACAAATTCACCCATAGGTGTTTTCTCGCAACCAGATGCACGTTTTGCCCATGTGCATATCGACTTGGTAGGTCCTTTACCACGTTCAAACGGTTTTAATTATCTTTTTACATGCATAGATCGATTTACCAGATTCCCTATAGCCATCCCGATAGCGGACATCACAGCAGAAACAGTAGCCAAAGTCTTCATGCAGAACTGGGTAACCATTTTTGGTACACCCATAACAATAACGACGGATAGAGGAGCGCAATTCGAATCCGAACTATTTAATAACTTGGCTAAACTTCTAGGCTCCAATAGGATACGCTGCACTGCATATCATCCTCAGGCTAATGGGATGGTAGAACGTTTTCACCGTCAGCTAAAAACCGCCCTTATATCTCACTCAAACCCCAATCAGTGGACAGAATTCCTACCATTAGTTATGTTGGGAATACGAACATCTGTCAAAACTGACGCACAGTGTTCAGCTGCAGAACTGGTTTTCGGAACAACTCTAAGACTACCCGGTAAATTTGTTAACCCTAATACTAACAGTAAAAACCTTAATTTAGAAAATTATGTAGATCAACTACGGGACCACATGTCTAAACTTAAGCTGATTAATACTCGTGAACAACCTAAAGACCTAAGCAATTGCACGCACGTCTGGATAAGATGTGACAAAATAAAAGCACCACTCAGTCCTCCATTTGAAGGTCCTTTCAAAGTCGTCTCAAGAAAATCTAAATATTTCGTGACAGAAAAACATGGAAACATCGACACAGTAAGTATTGATAGGCTAAAGCCGGCTTATCTAGATCATGAACCACCATACGTGTTGTTAGATCGTTTAACTGACAAATCCATTACGGAATCGAAATGCAAAGATGATAAATCTTTACAAATGACTAAAACGGTTCGCTGGGCACATCCAATTAGTCAGTCAAGGATGTTGACAGTTTCGGCTGCAGGATAAAATCTAACCACGTAGCTAATCACACCCTGCATCTACTTAAAAATATTTTTTTTCCTCATTCCGCCTCACCTACAACTCCCCAGACCTTTTACCTTTGATATATAAGTGTTATGTTAAAAATTTTTAAAATACTGGACACATAAGCTAGGTATTCCGAAACGATGACTGAGGATTTTAATCAAACTCATACAACTAACACTGGCAAATACAACGAATTCAAAAAGCAACCCAGGCGAGTTTTAGAATTTCTTTTTCTGGTTAATTAACTATGTTGACTGTACTTCTTATATATTTATATACATTTTTCACGTAGACTGGCTATACATATATACCATATGAACTACTTCTAAAAGTTTTCGGTTGAGGATATGTTTAGTAGCTTGATACGATTAATACTACTATTAATAAGTAGTTTTCTAGACAAAACATTTCGAATTAAACCATGGTCAAGTACTTATTAAAGTTCTCATCATTTTTTTTCATGTTTAGGAAACTTACGTAACTACTTAACCAGTTTTCCTGCAGCATGCTTTTTAGTGTGATCATATAACCCATCTTTATTGGCAATATTCAGATTTTTTTTAATTTCTGACATTTAAGAATCAATAACCGTGAAGATATAGTACAGTGCGTTACTGTAAGGTTACTATGTTAGCCGCATTGATTCCACATACCTAATTTTAAACACAACTTATAAGGGAACTGTTTAGTAATCATGACATTGAACTGACGATACGACTATCATGGCTATGTTAACGTTAACCAATTATTAATAGTGGCCCATACAAAGTTCTGGAACTTAACATTAGCGTAATAAAAAGACATTTTATGTCAATAACTGATATATATATATTCGTTGGCTTAAATATAACGTAAAATGGAAATTTACTAAACTTGTAGTTTTTCTTCTATAGTAATAATATTAATGAAAACAAAAAACTTATACTTTTCCAATATGGCACTTTGATATATCAATCTGTCCTCTTGTCATTTTTTCTCTCATATGTGAGCGACTTACGGGCAACAAACATCGTATTGAAGGTGGGTCTGGTGAACAAAAACGCAGGCCCCACACGCACTCGAACCTCTGCCCTCCTGAATGCTAGACCGCGTGCTTAGCCGTTAAGCCACGTCAGACCACGGAGGAAGTGACTTCAATATTTCCTTACACCAATTAATCACTCATAATACTAATGAGTAATAGGACTTACACACTTCTGAGATGCAAACCAATTCGTTACTTGGATGAATTGACGAAATATTGCTTCGATATATCATGCATACCTAAATCAAACCAGAAAAGGGTACTTGACACAACTGTACTTGATCCGCATACTCTACACAATTTTTTTTGCTTTTAACCGTATATTCTTTTCCGTTTTGTGGAATACTCTGATGCACCCTTGGGGCAAGGTTTAAACGTTAGGTCCTTTTGAAATGCACCCGCCCTTTCGTTTCAACGACCTTGAACGGCTTGACTAGAGGCGGTCATTCCGTATTTCAATTGCCGTGGGTTAGTTGGATTGCATGAGTATCAAGGTTTTTCATATATAAGTCATCTTATGCTACATAAAAAAGCACGAAATAAATACCAAAACCATTAATTTAGCGTTCTCTGTTTTGTAGTGTACACTTTGGCTCTGTTGTTGCTTTGTAATTTGATCTTTGATCCCAACAACTGTAGTAAAGCTCAACGAAATGTCAAGTCACAGGTAAATCCTAAGTATTTGTAGTATTTCCTTGGGTTATTACTGCTGCAAGGAATAACTTTTTAATAATTAGTCATGTCTGTTTCTAGTGCTTCATGCTCAAGTGAAATTTCAGTCGACCTAACCGATGCCTTTCGAAGTATGATACTGAACAAGCGTTTCGTGTTGTGGGATGATTTTGAAAGCGCCTTAAAAGAGTTTCAAAAAGTATGGAATTATAATTTTATCGCTTCTCAGACTACTTATATTCGTTACATCCACACAGAAAGCAGATTGCTGAAGGATGTCAGGTTCAAATACCTGTTTGTATCGTTTAATTGTACGTTTGGTCATGAACGGAAATCGGAAGGTTTGAAAGTGAGGCAAAAATCGTAAGATCTTTAACTAATATCTTATGTTTAAGGTCTAAATTCCGTAATTGTCAATCTAAATTCCGTGTAAGACTAGGGGAGCAAGGATATGTCATCAAATCCTACAACATGCTCCACAATCATCCATGTAGTAGTTCATGGATGGTATGTGATCCATGGACAAGGAGATTATCGTCAGAAAAAAAAGAGAACTTGAAGCCCGTAATACTTCACTGTGAGTCAGCAGATGAAGTTATCGAAGGCATTAAGGAGAGAACTGGTAAGCTGGTAAGTGTATATAAATTTATTTCAGGTTGTTTTACTCGGAACCAGGTAATGGATATGCTTATACAGAAAGGCGAAGTGAAGGAACATTTAGAAAATGGATATGCCACTAGAATATGTTTCAGTAAATATAACCAAATACAAGTGTACAGAAAATATCCAGAAGTTGTGTGCATTGATTCTACGTATAATACTAATAATAAAAAGTGAATATGTTTATCGTTGTATTTTACTATGTAGATATTCCTTATTCCAGTTAGTGGTGACGGATAATTGCGGTCGAGGTCGAACTGTAATGTTTGCGTGGACTCGAAGGGAAAAGCGTGCTGATGTGATATGGATTTTAGATCAATTCAAAGAGATAATGGGTGACACAATGTTGACTGAAACATTTGTGATGGATTGCGCACGATGTGAAAGCGCGGCTGTCTGTATAACACACGAACATGCAAACATAATTTTGTGCGCCTTTCATGTAATTCGCGCTTTTTGAAAAAAGGTACACCAATGGTTACTTATATAAAATTGCCCTTAGACAAACGACAAAATAATGAAAACCTACTTAACTCGATTGGTAACTGCGGAGACGGTTGAAAGGTAATTTTTGTAATGTGTTTATTCACTAGATTTAATCAATATTACAATAATAAATCGGCGGGACAGATTGATAGGTCAGTACCTGTCACGTTTTCGGATGGCACGTAAGACAATGTGGGCGCGTGCCTTTTACGGTCATGTTTTAACATTGGGTAACAGCACGAATAATTGTGTTGAATCGCCAAATAGGCAAATTAAACGATACGTACGAAAAAGTGATAGTCTGCACAAATTTATGTACAAGGCTTTAAAATGGAGTGAAATGATGTCAACTAGAAGAAGTATCGAAGATCAAGTGATAGCCGGAAGATCTTATAAATATGATGCTCCACAGCGTCTTATTCCCCTGCTAAACATTTTGACCCCATTCGCACGATCTAAATTGTTATACATTAACTGCATTACCACGACAGAGTGAAGTGTATATAAGTATTCAACGAAGCCAAAGAATCCATAAACATCGCATCATTGAGAAGTATGGTGAGCGTTTCGCAACGGAAGTTGAGAAGAAAGTGGACAATTATTACTTAAGAATTCTTAATACCAACTTGTAAACTTGATTTTCTGCTTTAGCAGCAATGATTATTCAATAAACTTTCATAATTTTAATTTTCATCTTATTCCTACGTTCATGGGAATGAATAGCAATGATGTTCATGTGTAACTGTTTGTAATAATTAAGAATGATTAAGAAACCCTACATCCACGTACAGTCTTGCAGATTAGGCACCCACATAGCATATTCACCTTCGTCGGATTACGTTTATCATTAAAATCGTATCAGTAGCTAAGTAGATTTTAATTTCATGTGATTAGTTCCGCTTATGAATTAAAATGAAACCAGGGGAAATGTTGATTAACAGTGGTATGCATTCATTATAACTAAATATGCATTAGAATTTAACAGTGATGTGGGAAACAGTTGACATACCTGACTATGAATAATTGAAATGAAGTAGGTTGTCAATAATGACTAGGTATATATATATCTATGTGCAGTTTAAGGTCCAAGGTCTTTTTTTTATACAGTCAATAACACAGTAAGAATGGGTGGTGTAATAGTGGACTGGAGTTCACAGACTTGTAAGTGATCCGTGGATTTAAGAACTGAAGACTTGGGTTACGTAATAATTGATTACAATTTGCAGAGGTCACATAATTACAGAGGATCAAGTGACAGGGTGCTGGAATAAATCGGTAACTGAATTTTAAAAATGAAATGAATTATTACATAATCCATCTTATTACTTGTTCATTCCATGGATTATAAGGAGTTCATATTATTCTCTATCTATATTTGTTCTAGCGTCATATCGACTATTAATAAATACGGACACGGTTTATAAAGTAAGACACTGAGTGTAGTTGCTATATTTATATTTCACTAATTCATTAGTTGAATAAAAATGTTACTAGACAATACGGAACACAGTTAACGTGAACTTGTAAACCGGTTTTTAACATGGTCTTCCATAATCACAAATTCTATAAGTTGTAGACGGGCGTAAACATCATCACAAAGCTTTGACGACTTTATTGGATTCATACAATTCTGAAAAACAAACAAAGCAGTAGTGAAATAAAGAATTAGACCTAGTTATCAGTATCACATCCAATAAGTCAATCAAATAGCAGGTTACAGAATGTACCTATAAGTCTCCTATTTGCAGACAGCGCTAATCATTCGAGATTTCTATGTACTTTAATAAAAATTAATAGGTAATCTTTACAACACACAAATCAGTGTTATTTAAAAATGGCTGAAATCAATTTCGTCACAACATAGAAGCGTGGTCTGACTTATGAAGAAAATGTAATTAATTAATGTGGCATGAAGGAGATATGAATACAAGGAAATTCGGACGAGTCAGTCTGTAATGCAGTAGGAATTCATGAATTAACTCATTAATAGTTGCTTTTTTATTCAAGTCTGTGTCGTAACAAGCACTGGGAATTTATTCAGTGTCTAACCCTTGTAGTACTTCGTCTATACATCTGGTATTAGCAAGAGAAATTGGTAAGTACCATTTAGATATTACTCGACAATATGCATCATAACTTTGTTCACATTTTCGTCTGCGATTGTGCATTTCGTTTACAGAAAATTATTCGTCAACCCTATAACAGACACATCATAAATCAGTATTAAGTACGACATGGTTTTGTCACCATGCTCAGAAGAGACACCCATCGTTTTACTTATGAAGATTTTGTGCCTATTTAATGTGGTGTTATACACTGTTTCTGTATACGTTCAGAAAGCCGGTAAAAAAGACTATCAACGTAAATTGTTACTCACATAATTTTTTACTGATACGTTACACAATAATATGTCACTTCAGTACAAAACAATGCCACCTATAGTCCAAATAACCTTTTATGGCTAAATACAAACAATTTATATAATATTCATAGTTAGTTTGACGCTTACTTCTTTCTGATTACATTTTATTAACGACTACGAACATCTATGTTTGCCGTCACCATAATCAAGGAGGTGAACCATATACAATGCTTTTCACGGCTTATTTTCATGGAAAGTCGATCTGTAATCTATTTTTGACTAGAAAAATGGTGATTTGACTTGTTTGACTTTGTATTGCTAAAAAATAACCATATTACGCCAACTACATATTTACTTAGGTGGTGAGCACGAAATACGTCAAACTGCTTATAAATTGAAATAAATACTATCTTCCAATCACAAAGATTACGAGAAGTCACGTATGATGGAAAAAAGGCTGTTAATAGCTGATAAATAACGACACATAAAATCCACGACAATATGTTACCTGTGCGCGAAAACCCGTAAACTAACACGCATAGTGTGCCCACCGTTGGTTACGCACCTAGTTGTTAAAGGCGGTCATCACAGGCTCAAGGTCATGCGTTTGATCGATTTTAGATTCCAACTTCTAGCGAGTTCACCCTTTTACATATATGCATTACAAAAGAGTATATTTTTTTGTTTTCATGGTTTTTCGTGCACAAGATATCTACACTATGTCTATTTCCTTCCAGAATACCAATCCGTTTTGGAGGTCAAGCACTTAAATGGAACCGAACAATTATCAATTACATTTATGTATTTCCATTTTGTATCTTATTATTTTATGCAGGCAGGGGAGCAGTTCTTCAGGTTTGCTTGATTTTCACCATTACCTTTGAAGTAGATTCTTCTTTACCTTTTACTTGAGGGCGACTCAATAGGCAGGTGAGTAAACACCTGATAGCCGGTCTGAGCATAGAAAAATCGTACCTCACCAACATGGTGTTGGGTAGCCCGCTCGCAGCACTTCCTCAGATATTCTTGTTCCACATTCTCACACTTTCTCTTGAAAGCACGCAGCAAACCGTCAGCGATATTTGTAGAAGAAATCACATGCTACAAAATAAGATGACAAGCTAGTAAATGAAGAGACATCCATGGACTATCGTTGACAGCGTCAGTCGTCACTGATTGTAAGTAAAACAGTGAGCCAGCTGTCAATTTTCCCTTGGCATGAGAAATAGAACTAAGGTGTTTTCGATAGATAGGTTAATCGAACCGACGTTCCTACGGAAGTCGATTCTAGGGGGAAGGTAATGTAACAGCTTAGGTTGGTTGGTTAAGAGTTGACCCCAAACAACCAAGCATATGTCAAAACAGTATTGTTCAAGTATTCATTCACTTCCTTATTTTGTATAAGCGTTATATTCCCTAATATCTTATATTGAATGTTGAGAGCCTTTGTTTGTCTGAACAGATAATCCAACGCTCCAGTGTGACTGCGCGAAAACCGAATTAAAGACCTATTCACTACTTCTCTGGTTTCTTCTATCAATAGCACGAGGGTTACCTTAAGGCACGAAAGTCTTACTTTCGCTTGTATCTACTTTAACTAATATATTTCTGTATAAACGTCCTCCGTGTTGTAAAGTCTTCAAAGCATCTATGGTACCTTGATACGTCAATGGGGTAGTCCACGTAAAGCGCTGACCACGAGGTGTGACTTCGACGTTAGCTAGTTTGGCACACCATTCACGTCTAACTCGAGTAGGCGTCCAATCACTTTGACATAGATCATCTGCGTTGGTGATTTACAACGTCATAAAACTGGTGAACGCGGGAACGTAGAATAGAAATGACATGACTCAGCCATGCAAATGCGACCACTTTGTAGCCTATTCATTTTCATATCTGATATATTATTCTGTTCCCATCCCAAACGTGTTCTTTGGAAGTGAGAAATATCGTGTTGCCAATCACCACTATAGGACGAGTCAGTATGAAAAATGATGTGACTTAGACGCAAGATCTTGTAGATTAGGTAGTCACACGATGGCAAATCCACAATTTTGTGATCAGGTCCATCATTCTGGTATCGATGTTGAGTGTACTAATGGAGAACTATACTATCACCCTAAAGATTCACGTTCCTTATATTAAGTATGTTTAACGAGGTTGTGGGTTTACGTTTGGATAATGTTTAAGTTCCTTAGCTCATTAGATAGTTTTGTGTGGTGGCGATGTTCCAACACTTCTTCTTTTCTTGTGACAAACGTACAACATCCAGATATATGGAGGGACGGTCGTACTATTTCTTGTTTTTCAACGGTCCAGGATATATACTACTGGGTCACTTGGCTGCATAACTTCAGGAAATTAGTGATGCCCCTCCTAATGATACACATAGGCCGATTGCTCACATTTCAGTCTCGGATGCAACATCCATCACCTTCATGTCTGCTTTCTACATGTAACGACGTGCTGGTGCAAATAGATGGCAGGCCATGTAAGCCATGAACTACAATAGTGGCACTGTAGCGACCGAACTTCCAGTATTCGGTTTGAACGCCAGACTGTCAAACCAAAATCTACTCGATTAGTGTTACGTCCAAGTTTTGCTCGTTCCAGTTATTGAAGTACGGACTATCGATCTACTCGCAAATTACGAACCCAAATTAACAACAGAACCAAGTCCCAATTTAGATACCAAGTTTATTCGTAATTCACAAGTAATCGACCAAATGTCGTTCTAATAACAATAATTATAACAATTACAAAACAAACCTTCAATTTTGTAGGTTCCCGGAGCAAAACTCCCAATTACCAAACCAAAGACAAAAAGAGCACCAAAATACCAAACCAAAGACAAACCAAAATGTCCGAAATAATGATATAAACAAACAAGTTCGAAAGTTAAGTAAAACAATTACATCCAAAAGCACAGTAAATTATTAATG